TGTTATACTCATTATACCAGATGGCCCGGCAGAAAAGTAGGTTATACTCATTATACCAGATGTCTTAGCATTGTAGGTTATACTCATTATACCAGATGTCTCAGCACATGAGTACGTTATACTCATTATACCATATGTCTCAGCACATGAGTACGTTATACTCATTATACCAGATGTCTCAGCATATGAGTACGTTATACTCATTATACCAGATGTCTCAGCACACGAGTACGTTATACTCATTATACCATATGTCTCAATAGATGAGTAGGTTATACCCATTATACCAGATGTCTCAGCAGATGAGTTCGTTATACTCATTATATCAGATGGCCCAGCAGATGAGTAGGTTATACTCATTATACCATATGTCTCAGTAGATGAGTACGTTAAACACATTGTACCAGACATCTTCCCGAGGCAAGAGAGTAAACTGACTATACAAGTCCAGTTTCCACACTTGCCGAACTAGGCTGGTATTATGGAGTTACATTTTGGCTGGACTAACGAGTCTATGCATAGTCCAATCAAAATCGCGCACCGAAATCGAAATCCGGTTCGTAAACTGTCGTGCAGATTTCGATCGATTGCAGGATTTGCAAAGCATGTGCACCGCCAATTCGTTGTCAGCAGATATTTTCCAAATCTTTTCATGTTTTTAATCAAGGTGCTCCCTTGATTTGATGCACTTCACGATGTAAGACCCGTTTTATCACGATACAGATCTTGATTATCGATCTGATCGTCCTGACTGGGCGCCACCATTTTGTGTGAAGCAAACGCAAGTGATACGAGAGGTGGAATCTGATTGGTCCATAGGAGAGGTTTAGAAGGGACATAACTGGTAATAGCCACTGGTGGCGCTACGATCGAGCCCAGGAATTCCAGCCTAGTTCGGCAAGGGTTGAAACTGGACTTTTAAAGTCAGGTAACTCTCATGCCTCGGGAAGATGTGTACCAGATGTCTCAGCAGATTAGTAGGTTATACTCATTATACCAGATGGCCCAGCAGATGAGTAGGTTATACTCATTATGGTGTGGGGTGGCTTCACAACTAATTTCATAAGGCAGCATAACACTGACCAGCAGTTTCTTCAGACCTCTTCCCTCACAGGACATGTTTGGGATGAGATGGAAAAACATATACGACAGAACCAACCGGTAACACTAGCTAAGTTGAACTAAACTTCTGTATCAACGCAAATGGTGGTCACACCCGATATTAACATTGTTAATTGCGTTTTTGTAACATCCCTCTCTTATTGCTCCTGATTAAATATTGATCAGAAGAATGACCAAAAATGATGTTGTTATTATTAATAACCTAACATTTACACCACTTTATATGAAGCTCAGTTATTTTTTCCGTTGGTATAAAATGTATGGTAGACATCCTATTTCATTAGAACATCCTAACAGTATGTAAATGCCATGACTATATTTTAGGGTATGCTTTTGTGAGGTCAAGCCGTGGCATCAGGGCTGCCTTGATTGTAGCCACGATTGCTAACACCTTCCACGTCACCCTTCACACGTTGTCTCTTTGCTGGAGTAGTCATGTGGCGTTTAATAACCACCTTCCAAGTCCATGCACAGCTGAAAGGTGCTTTCGTGCCAAATAGCATTCCCAGGTAACCCCGAGAACAGGTTTTGTGTGTTAAGCTTTACTAGAAACACATACGGATACTGATGCAACTTGGTGTAAAGCTTCCACGTCAGTGAGGAACGACCAAAGATACGTTCAGTATTTTATAATTAATTTTTCGTTGTGTTCATTGTAATACCTGCATTCAGAGTAGCTGAATTGGTCACGTGTTATTGCATTCATTTCCCAATGAATGTAATTAATTAAGGCCCACTACGTTTATGCCTACGGAATGTCGGGGAATGCCAGTGAACAGTGGACTGAATTCCCTTTTTGCTCACCTGTATCATCATGAAGTTATCAGGCCTAGTAACATTTTAGTGATATTTTAGGGTATCAAACCAACCAACAACAAAAACAAAAAGCACATGATAAAAAGAGTTTACTGACGAAATAAAGAGTTTTACAGGTATTTATGTCTTGTCTTGTTTCCCGTAGTTACCGTATGTATCACGCGCAGTCCAGAAACAATCGTCTGAGATGTCTAGAGAACAACAATATGGCCGACTACAACTACGGAAGTTTTGATGGCGATTCAAAGGCTATAATTGACACATGTCCCGTCAATTCACTTCGCCAACTCTTTGAAAAAGTGCCCCGAATGCACAATCTCAATGCAACAAAAATGCACTTAGTTCCCCGGACACACACAACACTTGGTATACCACAGCTTCTGTCAAAAGTTACCAGTTCTCTCGCTTCATGTCAGACATTAGTCGAACTACCAAATGTAGCAAGTCCAACACCGCCCAACTTCGTCACATTATATTCATGAGTGGACACTGAAACGAGAGTTCTGTGCGTAGTTACAGTCGCAAAACAACTTCACAGAAACACAGAATTAGCGAGACCTTATCGGCCATTGTCACTCAACAAACCCGTCCCGCACAAGCACTGCATGACATCACAGTTAGATACAACACCGCCGTCTTCCACACTCACTGCAGAAAACCCGGCATGGCACAATCTCAGTTCCACAAACTTCGTGTCTTCGGGTTTCATTTCTAACTCGCATTTTTCACAGAAGTTTGATCATTAGATCTATATTTCGTTCGGGGGATTTGGATATACATCGCGCACAAGTTTTAAAATACAATCTTGGATCCCTTTCCCGTTTTGTCCTCACCAATCCTTCATCTGCTGCAACGTTTAATATCCGTTTCTTCCAGTCCAAGTATCTACGATCTCTCCAAACACTTCGTTTATCCAGCTCAGTCCAGAAGTTTTGGCAACATTGTTTTCGATTCGACAAACTTCTGCAGGATGGCGGCCGCACCATTCCCTAACTGCGACTGCCTTGTGCTGTGTCACGCATGTTTGACAAAAGAGGTTTGAACATACATATTCGGCTTCATCTGGTTCCACAATGAAATATCGCTGTGACACTGATTCACTAATCCCAGGAATCGGCACTGAATTTGTCAAAGTTTGCAAGGGCGGGAAGAGAGGCGCCATCTTGTCGATTCGAGTAGACGATTGTAATTATTTCATCTTGAACTGGAACTTTCTCCACGATAAAGTCACCAATGTCATAATCGAAATAACCAAAGGCTCTCTGATCATCTCGAACAACTCTCCGTCAAGTTAAGCGTCACATGAAAATGTTTTGTTGCTCATACTGAAGACAAGCGAACTTGCAAAGTTCTTGACAGTTGTAAGCAGCAATGAACGCGCTCATGGGGCTTGGTTGCTAGGTCAGAAAGGGGGAAAACACATTTTTTTAGAAAGTAATAAAAGAAATCCGCAGTGCAATCTTAAGTACCATACAATACAATAGTAAATACAATAAACTCCATACTTGGTCACGTCGGCTGTTTATACGGTATATACCCAAGGTTAGACAATTAAGCCCAAACGTCTCCCTTGTTCATAAAAATGCATCTTATTTAACTGAATCTATGAAAAGAACGTGTCACGTGAACGTGTTTTGAAAACCGAAACAAATTGCAATAAGAATTCTCCAAGTAACTATGAAGCTATTCAGACATTTTTTTTATAACAGTATTCTATCTTTATAAATATAGGAACTACTTATAATGTCCTGACACTGGTCTATGCATAATAAACCTTAAAGAGGCATCTACTTACAAGAAATCATTCTTATAAAATATCATACACATGTGAATACAAAACCTATTCATTCAGTGGAAAGAGTTTGACTCTTAGTGAAACCCAGACAGTCATGGTTTATCAGAAGTTCGAGTCCGTGCAGCAACACTGCAACTTGATTCATGTTTTTTTTGTCTTTTTATGTCTTGCTTGACAACGGTATACGGATCTACACCGAAACGCCGCATTTACAGTAATTAAAGAAGTTAATGGTATTTAGATTTTCCGTCTGGATTTGGTAACGTTGGCAATCATACTTGTTCTCATCATGAAGAGAAAGATAGCACACTCTTGTTGTGGATCATTCCCAAGTTTTTACCACCATGATGCACACCATTGTTTCTGTCAGGCTGATATCCCAGATGTGCATCCAATCTGTTCCCCCAGAGTCCTTGTCGGTAGGACTTTCGAAATAATGATAAGTACAAGTGTACATTACAGTTCCGGTGTGAGTTGCGGTTCTACAATATTCAAAGTACGTGCGGCAGATCAATAATGGTTCAGACCACGAAAAAATCGAATAGACAATGAATTTCTACCGTTTAGAACAAACAATGAACTATTACTTTCTGACCATAAAAACTGACAATTATGTTTCTTGAACAAAGAAAATAATGATAATCCCAGGACGACTGCCATTTTATTCCTTCATTTCAAATGATCCAAGGGTCTGTTACCTTTAGGCAGAGGAACAAAGCTTCAATTGTGTAACATCAAGTTAGCAACCCATGTGAAACCATCCACAAACCAAGAATCATTATCAGGGCGAACCTGGAAGTTCCAACGCACGGTGGTAGGTTTCGAGCAAACTTGAAGCCTGGTACCTGGGTAGAGGAAGAACATTAGGATTTCGTGCAGAATCTCAAGTAACGAATTTATGTAGGTTGTACGTAACATAAGTGCAATATACAGCACAGTGATATCGCGAAAATCGAATGGAAACAGATATAGTTCATGAGAATACCCCAAGCATTAGCGTTAGGTATAATAAAAATGAGATTAGATATTTGAATGGAAATAATTTAAATAATAGAAATTCTGGATTGGAAACCGACCAAGTTGTGCAATCGTCTTGTGTTTTCTATGAAAATCCCCTTGGCGTATCTGGTTCAACCTTAATAGTTCTTGTATATATGATCCGTTGTGTCTGGGGTCGAATTCTGATTCCAACCAATGATCATCATGGATTTGTCAGTGCCATTATCCTGTTCTGTGCTACTTAAAAACGGAAGGACAATCCAAAAAATCCTGACAAATACTGTTTTATTGCATCCTGAATACCGCATGAGACGTTTACCAACAGTACAGTTACATTGTCCCTGTCAAACCGTGTCCGGTTGCGTTGTCAACAGCAACAGCAAGGAATCATATTAGTGGGAGTGGTGTTCGTTAGACTGTGGTGTGTCTGAGCTGCTTGGAGTAAAGCCGTCGTTCTTGATGCCAAGCATCCCAACCTTGAATGACTGCCGCTTGCCTGGGCAAGATATCTGTTGTCTCATAACCACTGTCAGCATTAACATCATTGTGGCAATAAAAGAACCCCCTGCACAGACGAACGTCATATCCTTGTCAAGTAACCTTGACAGATAACCTGAAAAAAACATGCAGTTTCCTTGCTAGTTTCATCGAAGACGTTTTGCCTATGTAAGTTGGGAAGGTATAGCATGTACATCCGATACCTCCAATTAGCCATGATGTGAACTGGAACATGCTTTTTGATTATACCGTTCCGTTATTTACCTTGTTTCAAATGACTTGCATCCATTGTTGGGTTACACATTGGGAAACCTCTAACTAAGCATATTGGGAACGTTAGGCAATAGTATATTGAGAAAAGAAGTCAATACATTGATGTATGTAGCATGAAAGTTGTTCCTGATAGGCAACGTCATTTGCATATTTATCGAAACATTATACCTAGTTTATCAGATTTGTTTATCGCATCGATTAAACTAACCATTATATGATAAAAACTGATCATATTTGTACTACCTTAGTATATCAATCAAGGCGATGCACGTTTATACCTCTGTCGGATTCTTTAAGTATTACTCTATATGAGTTAATTACCAATAAAAGCTTACTTTGTAAAGGCCCTCCACCGAAAGCTCCAATCCCTTGACACATCACACATATGCCGAATATTTTGGACAGATTAGTGAGTCCGAACAACTTGACTAAAACTAGTGTATACACACCGTTCCAACCACCTGAAATAGTGAGATGTTCCTAAAAGTTCGCTATTTTCACATACGAACGTCAAATTTTATAACACAGATAAAATTCACGATTGAAAGATATGATTACTAAAACTGGAGAAAGTTTACTTGATATAAATGAACTGCGTCAGTAGTTTTGGAGAGGAAATAATGTAGAAATCGACGGAAGAAAATCTCACCTAGAGCTAGCCCATATGCTGCCCCGTTTATGTAGAAAGCAAGAGATCTTTCACAGAGCGGTACAAGGAGATCTGTGACACCGCACATGCACAATGAAAAGATAAATATGTAGTTTGCAGCCTTCTTGCTCGCCATAGAGATTCCAGAAAAGATGACACGACCAACCATGCTTCCATATCCCGAAGTAGAAACTATGAGAGCAGCCTCTGAAGTCGTTATGGTAGATAGTGAGGCAGTTACGTAGGCAGGCAGGAAGGTGGAGAAAGTGTAGTAACTGAAGCCGAGGGTGATGTGAGCGACTGAGACCGTTATTGCTCCTGGAATCCTGAATATCTGGAGACAATTGACCAACGTCTGACTCAAGGAGACAACTGGACCATCAGAAGAATCTTAAAGAATGGGGAAAGGACATTGTGAAATTGGTTTCAATATGATACTGAAATAGCAAAGTTTTCCACGACAAATCTTTCGAAATGAGCTGAGATCAGAAACTTTTAATGTATACTTACTTGTACTGTTTCTTGGAGTAATCAGCATGGCGCAAGGTATGAAGTGTAGCGTCAGTGCGCCATTGATGAGACATGTACCCCGCCACCCGGTCGTGTCAGCAGTTACGGCTGATAATGGTGGCCACATCAACATACCAATAGCTATCCCCGTTACAGATATTCCAACGGCTACAGGTCGCCATTTTGAAAACTGTTTGGTGACATGTACCATGGTCGATGTATAAGTCAAGCACGCACCAGTACCTGAGTAAAATAACGAGAAATATAATACTTTCCAAAGATTAATGGGTTCAATGTCATTTTTGCTTTATTCACATTAAAAACCAGTAAATGATTTTCCAAGCTTCTTTATTATTCGACACTCCTGGCCCCAAACATTTGGATACAATTTTATGATAACATATTGTATTTGCAATACCCAACTGCTGGCGTATTATATTTGTCCTTTAAGAAGAGTTACTAGGGTTTGGTAGTTAGTACTAGTTACTCACCACCCCATTCATTGATTAATAGGAAGTGATGCGATACAGACCTGGCAAAACACCGAGTGCGAAGTACAACACATTCAGGTCGTTCACCTGACTGCCGATGATAAAGCCAGTGACAGCCAGCAAACCTCCAAATAACGTGGTAAGTCGACTCCCGAGGCGATCCACACACACCACTCCAATAATTGCTTGAATAAAGGTTTATGGAGTTGAATATGGTTGTTGTGTACAATAATTTCCAGCTTATTATGACTGATAAACTATTTTGAGTTTAACAACACAAGCTCAAAAACAGGACAACAGATTATATGTGTAATTTGTACATGGTTGGTTTTCGAGCGTTTAATTTAATATAATATTTCAGGGTTAACCACACGAGTAAATATATCTTTTATGAGTAGTAAAAAAATTGTAATTAAAAAGCTCCTAACTCTGGTGTCCATAAATTGTAATTAATACATTTGGAACTGAAACTGGAACAAATTTCACAATGTTAAATGAGTGATGCTTGAACCACTTGAGTCAAATGTGCTGGGACTTTTGCTGCCTGCGTAAATGAAATGAAAGACCACATTACTAGTTTTTGCAATTATAACTTGAACGTATACAACGAAATATATCTGCCAACCCTAATGGGATCAGATTCTGAATCCTGAAATTGGTTTAACTTACATGCAATCCCAGAAAATCCACCAAAAAGAGCTCCTATCCAAGTCACTTCCTCCTCTGAGACACCAAGAGATTCCTTCATGTATGTGTACATGACACCATACGACGTTGCTAAACCGCCATAGAACATGTTGGCAACGAAACAACTGACCACCGATCCAATCTGCCGGTATTTACTTGTAGTAACCTCACGGGTACCCTCATGAGTGCTTGCCACAGATTTGCTGTCTTCGACACATTGCCTGTGGCTGTGACGAATGCTCTTAACATTGTCATCATCTAGTGGACCACGGGGACCCTTGTTGCCATCTCGACACATCCATGTACCCATTCTGAAGTCACCAGTAACATCCGCCACATCGCCGGCAGACATTGTACCAATCTAAACTAAACTACACAGGACCAGTAATGCTCCCACTGGGAACATCTATTGATAAATGTGATGGTGTCGGTTCTCTCGACCCTATAGAGAAGAATATGCGTCTTGAATGTCAGGACATACCTTAATAATGCAAGTGCATGACCACACGTATCACACTTGTTTGTTCTGCTTTGGTCTAGATATTGTAGCCCCAATGTGTGCTACCCATAGTGCGTCCGTGACAAGTAATTTACTTTTCCAATCATTAAGGTGGGTAGGTTGGTCATAATCTAACCAAAATTCATTATTGTAACTATTTTATTTTCATACCATATGGATTACTTCAGGATTATTTTCTTGAGATCGAGAACTTGGTTTTTTTGGTAACATTAACACAGACTTAGATTATGTAAAAACTGATATGTAATATATAAAAAAGTATATGTACTAGAGACAACAAAAATTTGAAATAGTTCCTAACTGGTCCTCAGCTTCGTCAGAAGCATTGTCAGACGGAATGGCAAAAATCTTTAGTGATTTTTTATTTTTATTTTATTTTCCTTTTTTATTCATCTCAGCAGGTACATCATTTATATATAAATGTCATGGTATTCAAGAAATGTACGTCTTTTCATACATATAAATTCTTGCCTGTAAAGTCAACGCACTGTATCAGTGTGTCTTACAATTTAGTTTTTAAACAAAGTGTGGAAAGAAGACCAGAAACTGAAATAGTGTGCATAGTTACAATTTGTAACTAATTATCTCATGCTGTATGTGTTCAAAATGTGGCATTAATCCCTTACTACATTGTCCGATATTACTTGTTTTGTTATTAAAAGTGACAATATTCTATGGGTTGTTGTGTTTGCCTTGAAATCCAAACAAAACATTTTCTCTGTTTAAATCAATGGTTCCTTCCACAACGGATTTTATCCAAATGTACAGTTTCTCCCAAATCTTTCTTACATGTTCACAATCATACAACATATGGATTATAGTTTCAGGTTGATTTGTACAGAAAGTACACATAGGAGAATCAACATATCCAATTTTATATAAATATTTGTTAGTTGTAAGAATGAAGTGAATAATCTTAAACTGAGTGCATCTTTTGCCATCAATATATGTTCCTGCCAATGTGTTTCACTAAATGTCTTATTTAGTATACTTTCCCATTTTTCAATGCCATGAAATTTAACAAACTCCTCTGCTGATGAAGTCTTGTAAAATGTTTTACTACCTATATTTTGGTTTAGAAGATCTGATATATTGAGTGACATCGTTGGTCGAGGAGATATAGAATTGGAAACATTGTGTTCCTTTACCTTACAAAACTCCATAATATTCTATATAATTTGTTTGGATTCCATACATATGCACAAAAAGCATCAAATAAATTAAATTTATCCACTAAATCCCCAATGAAGGTGTTACCTCTGCTTGACCAATGTTTATAAAAGATTGGGCTAATTCCTATTTGTATTCTGCTGTTAAACCATATAGACAGTTTCTTTTTGGACAAGTATGTTGCCCAAGCTTCCAAAATCCATTCATGGTATTTGGCGCAATACATACATCAACATAGGAGACATCTGCCAGCCATAATCTCTTTTATTTGGAATACAGCAAGCAACTAACTCAGTCCATCAGTCCATTTTGAGTGAAAACAATAAAATCTTCTGATCCATGCAATCACATCCTTTATAATTGGCATTTTAATTCCGCCATGTTTTGGGTGTTGAGACATTATTTGTCTTTTCACTTTATCCGGATTTTCCTTCCATACAAATTAAAAAAAGTCTTTTCTGAAAAGTATCAATCACATCCTTTGGAGGGTTGGGTGTGGAAGAAAAAAACATGATTCAATTTTGACAACAAGAAGCTATTTAGGACCATATTTCTACCTATTAGAGTCAAATTTCTTACCGTCCATAGGTTCATTTCTCTTTTCATTTTTCAAACTATATTTTAGAATTGTCCACTACAATATTATCTAAATCAACATTAACATACCAATCCTTCCATAGTTTATATCTTGATCTTTTTTTTAAACCAATCCAAATTATTTTGGTTTTCACCGCATTAACCTTAAGACCGGAAAATCTCGCAAAAATCTGCAATGTGTGCAATACAGCATAAAGGCCTTTTTCTGTTCCATCCAAACTTAAAGATGTATCATCTTCAAATTGTGACAGTAAGTGTTCAATTTTTCCTATCTAAATTCCTTTTAAGTTTAGGATTTTTTCTTATCTTATTTGTCAAAATTTCCGCACAAATTTATGAAAATATATGGCGACACTTGGTCACCTTGACGACAGCTTCTTAATATCTTAAAAAGGGACTAGCAAATCCATAAACTACTACACTAGATTCCATGCCATTAAAAAATGCTGACGTCCATTTTTGAATTTATGGTCCAAATTGAAAGAATTTTAATGCATTAATGATAAAAGTTCTATTTATCGTATCAAAAGCTTTCTCGAAATCTGATTTGAACAAAATATGATGCAATCACAAGGAGAAGCATACGTGCCCAAATTCAGCTACCTCAATTTCAGTAGATGAGAATTTTATCAAGCTAATATTCTTTCGAATGAATTTAAGAGCATAGTAACACAAGATCAAAGTATCGCCAAAACACATCCGAAACACATATGTTGAGACCCACAACAAACAGCACGTGCATGATACTGCATTTCATTCCATTTTGAAAAATAAATGTCTGAGTAATCGCCATTAGAAGAGATGAGAATAGGTTTATGACACACGACGGTACTTGACTTTCATTAACGTCATTAAATAAAATGAACTCTTCCAGGACGACAAGGGCAGTGCTCACCGTGCACGAATCGTCAATGCTGACAACCAGCAGCACAACATCCATACAATGTAACGGTCAGTAACGAGGCCAGACCTTTGAACACGTCTAGGACATGATATGGAGACATGTGCGTCAACGTCATAGGCCGCCGACTACGTTGGCTGTACTTGAACAAGGGCAGCAAGAGGAGTGGGACAGATTCCCTCAAATCGCCAGAGGGAAACTCACAGGCAGTGTACCTCGTCGAGTGAATGAATGTTTGACAAATCAGGGCGGTTTTACGCACTGCTGATCCATCCAAGCTGAAATTTCCCATCTTACCCCTGTCGTCCTTCAAGATCGTTGGTGTTCATAACATCTACTATCATACTTCAGTACCAGCTGTAATATGTTCCCAATTCGTTTATTATTATCATCATTACTAGAAACTAATATCCTTTACAATTTTGGAAATTTTAAGTTAAATTAAGTCCGAGTATGTCCCACTTTATTAACTGTATACATGCACATAGATCTCCACTAGCTTGTAGTAATGTATGTACATTTAAGACAAAAGGTATCCTTCCACAGCACAGTTGGGTAAATGGACAGAAGAGAAAGGAATGCTTAAGCTTTGCTAATCTGCGGACAGTAAAGGCTGATGTGCTAAAATTGAAAGTGGTGAACCAGGGAGGCCACTTCCCAGATCTAACACTGGGTAAGCACATTGTTTTTTCAACTTGGAAAATCGAAATCATGGTCTCATTTTATTGTGTATTGTATTTGATTTCGATACTAAAATATCTGGAATCATTTTAGTGTTGAGCTTGTTTAAGGTCGCTTCAGTTCGAGATTTTCTCCCGCGTAAGGTTGATACGCCGTGATAGGACTAAAATGTAGTTCAAACTCACTCACTCACTCACTCACTCACTCACTCAAACATAGCTTTTGGCATTGCAAAATCAGAACTTGACCCCCAAAGAGCTTGGGTGGATTCTCAAGGCAGAACAACTTCATCAACATTGGACACCATGCCACCGAGAACCCTACTGTGTCAAGGACAGCCATAATGGACATGAAACTTCTTATGAGAGCTACAGTTTTCCAGTATCGACCATGATTTCTAGGTTTGTCAGCACCATACCCGTGCTCGTGGGTTTCACCGAAGTGGTAAACGTCTGAGACCTGCATCACTTCGGGCACATTAAGCTGACACGCCGTGATATGACTGGAATACTGTTAAAAGCGGCGTTAAACCCAACTCACCCACTCACTCGCTCATTCACGGGTGGTGAAACGTATACGTTTGTATGTAGATGTATAATTACACCTGACCACGAATTCGGCGTTCAATAAGCAAGTAAAAGTTTAGGCGTCTTTATACAGGAGTTCAACCTAGTCGTGACGATGAGGACAGTGTTCCTGTATTAATGCTGCAAAATGCTGATGTATCCAGCTCGATCTGGTCCTCACCAGTGCTTTCAGTTTATATCAGCCTCATCTCCTGAACGCGTGACTATCAATCAGGAAGGTGTAACTAACTGAAGAGTATTATTCATAGTCCTTACTTCAAAAGTGTGTGTGGGGTGTGTGTGTGTAATAGTTATAATGTTAAAGTACACTTGTTCTGCTTTACATAATTTAAAAAATACAATAGGCCAACTAAGTGCAAGGCCGTATAGTTAACTTGTTTTGACAGCGGGGGGAGGGAAGCAAATAGTTGTACAAGTATCACTTGTCCCCAACTTGTATTTTCATGATTCAAATAAAACTGTTTTCTATAAAAAAAATATGGCAACTAAATAAGTACAAAACATCCACTCGACGCTGACGACTGTGGTTTAAATGGGTCCACGACAGGTCTTGGCAATTTTAGTACTATTAGTTCAATAATTTACTGCCACTAACATTTTCTATAACATGTTTACAAGCGTTTCTACGTGACAACAACGTCAATTGTTTGGTATTGTCAAACAAAACCAACGTTTATACTTAAGACATTGCCAAGTAGGAAATGACATTGCTTCAGCACCCACGTAAATGCTGTTTTAGGGTATAGGTTATAGGTAATAGGTTATTTTTGTCGTATTGCTTTAGCAAGATTGTGTGTAACTCGGTTGATTGGGCCTGAAAATAATGTATTGTCTATGACTAAGGACAAAGTTATTTCATTCGGCAAAAGGGCCGGGAACAAATATGTATCGTTTGTGGTGTATATGTGTGTGTTTCCAGTTACATTCCAGAGGGTGCATATCTGGGCGTACATTGAGCAAGTGTTACTTCTGGAGCAGATTATGAGGGTAGAAGAAAGGGAGCTCCAAGCCTTTACATTTTTCAAAATCAGTGTG